GAGAATGTATATATGTGTGCGTATATATAATATGTAGATGTATATATATATAATATATATATATATATATATATATATATATATATATATATATATATATGTGTGTGTGTGTGTGTGTGTGTGTGTGTGTGCGCGTGTGTGTATATGCACATTACACCCTGTTACCTTCCATAACTGGAGTATAGGCCAGACGCGACCGCGAGATCAATTATGTCTCAAGTTTATAGTGCATAAACGGACAAAGTTACGTGTTAAATGACTGCATGAAACACATCGCCAGTGCTATTCAGCTTACAATGGTCCAGTAGACTCTTTTTAAACCGATAGTACTCAGAAACTTTGTCAGAGTTTTTGTCTGGGCTGTACAAAAATAGCAAACATTCCACGAATGTAGACTGCAGATCAAAATGGGTCAATAAGTTGTATTAACATGGCTTGGCCATGTTTGTCTGGATATGTTCAAGATTCTGGCAGAATCGAGTAGTGGTGCAAATTATGTAACGTAGTTTTGAGCATGCGCGCTCCCATATCTTAGCATCAAAAAACTTGATGCCACATGTTACAGTTTCTGTGCGACAGGCAGCGTTGGTCGCGTGGTTAACATCAAGCCCATGTCAAACAGCTTGGCGAAATGGTGGTGCATCTGAAAGAAGTACCGTTGGACGCTTTAAGGTACCAGCCGTACAGTTTAAAGATATTCCGGGTGTATATTTCGCCTATGCAGTTTTTAGATTGGTGACAATAGCGTATTGCGTATTTACAAGCATCGCCGGAAGTGGTGCTGAAATCTAGGGGTGGACCTGGAAGGGTAAAGGTATAAACCTCTATTTTCCGTGTCGCTGCAGGTGTTAATCTGTCCAGAGGACTCCTACAATTTAAAAAACTCAGTGTAGTCTTTGAGCTGCATGAATTGATTTGAAGATATTCAATACGTCATGTACCATGATCATCGTTGCGCGCTCGGCGCCCGCCCCCGGCGTCACGTTCAGTAGTCAACGCCGTTTAGTTTACAAAGACTGCAGCCCAAGTCATCGCTACCTTGCTTCCCCGAGATTACGTGGCATGTTACTGAGGCTCAACGACGCTCTGAGCTGCTGGGACTAATGGCGTCGCCACCTCTAACTTTGGGATGGGCGTCACCATGGGGATCGAACCCCGTACCTGTGGTTTCCCAGACGCGCGGTGGTTAACACGCGGCGTGGTTCACCGCCATACTATGGCACCCCCCGGCGCGCAGGCTCAAACCATTTGATGGTATTTTGTTTCCTGTGTCGATTCTGCAAGAAACATGGTATGGCTTGCGCGTCCTGGACTCATCTCGACCTACTCCATTTCAAACATCTAACTATTGGAACCCCTCATTCTTCGGCAAGGGGCCCCTGAGTAACAACACTACGGGGGCACATTGTTTTCCCGGTCAAAGGTTGAAGAGCCGTGCTTTCCCACCGCGATGGTGTTTTCCGGCCGTCATTCTGGGCGACACGGGGCGGGGCAATCCCCTGGTTGATCCGGAGGTCCTCAGTGGGATGATACGTTATATCACATTGGTCCGCTCCCTGACACGGGAGGCATTCTGACCGCGTAACCGCGTCCCGGATCGACGCATGGACCGTCATTAATGCAACAGCGTCTCTGCTCGCCGCAGGGGCCAAATAATGGCACATGGACTCCAGTTGGGCTTGACGGGGTCCATGCTGGAAATTGGGTTGGAGGGCCTGCCGCTCGGCATTGGGGGCCCTGACTTGGCACAGGACTCTTCTATTACATCAATTTGAGCACTCATCACAAATTTGTATGTTTCCTACAATTGTTAGAGAGCCCAACCGACGCAAGTGGCCCTCTGCCATCCGGGCTCCCTTCCCCTTCCCGTTGAGGTAAATTTTCCCCTGACCGATTCGAGGCCCTTTGTTGACGCAGAATGCACTGTTGAACACTGGGCCCTGAAGGATGCAGGAGCCAAGCAGTGTAAATGCGGGCCTGACCTTGTATCTTGCTTGGGAGTGGGCCCCCGGAGGGTCAGACCACCATGGAGTTCGTGATCTGTGGCCAAAATATAAGAATGCTCCGTCTCAGGATCTCCTATCAGTGCAAGAGATCATCTTACCGACATTTCAACGTCCACTACATGGCCCTAGGGGCGGGGGTCCTTAATAGGTCTACAGACACCAGCCCTTCAAGCCTTTCAGCCATCCCATCAGTCCTTGATTCTTGGGTCTCGAGAGATCCTTCGGCCCCTCTTCGGCCACATGAAACACCGCTCCGACTCGGGGCCACACACCGCCACAGGACCCCTGGTTCGGCACTGTGGCCCTTAAACCGACACAGGAGCCTCTCATGGTGTCAGGAACCCCGAACATTGCCAATCGCGGACCCCGGTCTCGCTCCCGCTTAGGGAAATGGGTCTCAAGGGCTCATACGGACATGTAGCCGACTGTTCGGTGCTCGTGGTCTCTGACCGCCTTAGACACCCGCAATGTCTCAGGGATTCCCCAACGGTGCAGGGGGACCTCCGACTGATAGTTCAGGTCACGATCCTACGGGGCAGAGATTCTCTGTGCGACCTACAGTCAGTCCTTTGGGCCCTTATGCCTTCCAACCGCGGCCTTTGATTGTCGGTTTCGGTGGGCCTCCTGGACCCTTCTTCGGGCCTCATGGAACCCTCCCCTGGTCGACTCGGGGCCCGTGCGAGCACAGGACCCTCTGCAGGCGCTGTGGGTCCCTGACAGACACAAGGCCCCCGACCAGCATAAATCACTGGCCCCGACTTTATAGCTGATTGGGAAGTGGGTCCTCAGGTCCGTAACGGCACTGAGTCGACTGTGTGGTCCGGGGGTAACTGATCTATCTATAGGCCCATATCGCCTCAGTGGCTCCCCGATCAGCACAAAGGGCCCTCCGACCATTATTTGAGAGTCCGTCTTCGCAGGTCGGGCCCCTGGATAAGACTCCGACCAGCTGTTTATGTCCTTAGGTCCTCCAATCACGCCTTTGATCGTCGGACCCGGTGGGCCCTCTAGGCTCTTCGGATTTGTTCGAATACTGCCGCTGGCCAACTTGGGACCCATTTACAACGCAGGGCCCTGTTAGGCGCTCTGGGACCTCGAAAGAGGTAACTCGCTGGCTCCGG